AGGATGGGGGGGGGGGGGGGGGGGTGTACTCATACTCATAGTCGTGCATGCGGTAGTCGTTTGACCATTGACCTCGCATCCCTACAAAGCCGGGACGGAGCACGCCGGGTTCTCACCGGACCAGGCTCTCACATGACCAAGCGCGAAGCGCCGTGAGGTATTTGGCGAGTCGCATGAAGGGTGAGCTGCATCCTGCTAAGGGTGTTCGGCATCTTGTGCTTACTTCCTTGCGTACGGATGACAGCTACGTATGACTTAATTTATTTTCTTGTGCTTTCACTTCCAGAGACAGTTGTAAGCACTGTGTAACTGCCTCGAGGAAGCTTGACCATTTTAACACAACGTGGAACGATCATGCCCCGTTGCGCGGAGTGAGGTTTCTCGACCCCGCACAACATGATCTACTCGACAACCATTATGGTTACCGCCAAAAAAAAAAACGAGGTAAAAAAAAAAAAACCGGTAACCTGGTTGCCGAGTTCACGAAGTGAATTGGCTTGTTTTACAACGTCGTTGCCAAGCGACGAAAACCCAATCCCGATGGCAAACACCGAGGGGGGGGCTTGTTTTACAACGTCGTTGCCAAGCGACGAAAACCCAACCCCGATGACAAACACCGGGGGGGGCGGCATGTTTTACAACGTCGTTGCCAAGCGACGAAAACCCAACCCCGATGGCAAACATCGTGGGGGGGGCGGGGGGGGGGGGGTATACTCATAATAATCCATGCCGTAATCGTTCGACCATTGACCTCGTGGGGGGGGGGGGGGGGGGGGGGGAAAATTTCGTAAGGGGGACCGGGGAAAAAAACCCCCCTTTTTAAGAGGGGTAAAGATTGCCTTATTTTTCTGAAAAAACCCCCCTATTTTTTTTTGATATTAAAAAAAAAACCAAATTTTCTCCCGGGAAGAGAGGGGGGCTCCTGTCACCTTCCCGAGTAACGTTGTTCCCAAAAATCCCGTACAATAGGAAGCCCTCCTTTTTTTTTTTCCTCCTCAAAAAAGGAAATTACAAGGGGGGGCCCCCAAGGGCAAACAATTGCTTTGTTTAAAATTTAACCCCCCCTA